CGAATGAAACATCCATCACAGCTCACATGAAGCATTCATCACAACTCAAATGAAGCATTCACCACAGCCAGAATGAAGCATTCATCACAGCTCGTATGAAGCATTCATCACAGTTCGTATGGAACATTCATCACAGCTCACATGAAACATTCATCACAGCTCAAATGAAACATTCATCACAGCTCAAATGAAACATCCACCACAACTCGAATGGGACATCTTTGGGACTTCTTAGAAACACATCTATCAGGTTCGGAAAGACATAATGAAAGTATACTAAATTATGAAATAAGCGTCTAATGTAGAAATGGGTGCCATTCATTCGGTTCGGAACGACCCGACTTCCTAATTCGAAAAATTTTATTGAATTTATGATTCCGTCCTATTAACTGACAAAATCCCTGTTCGAATCTGGCCAATTTTTCTACTTGAATTGTTTTCTTATTAAAATATGCATGTTTGAACATTTCTTAATTCTTTCGTTAACAAATGGTTTTGCTTAGAATTATCAAATCGCTTATCTTTAAACGGCGTCTTTGCTGCCAGTTTGACGTACGTGTGCTCTATGTTTTCTCAAGTAGTAGTTTATTATATATTCAAGTGGACGCACACATTTAATGTCTCAGGCTTCGTTGCACGCTCCGATATTAACGAAACCATCTCAAGTGGAGATCAAAATTATTTTATGAAGCAGAATATTACGCATATATCCATGCAGAGTTGTCAAGTGTAGAAGACTTAGTAAGTAGATTGACTGGATTCGCGAGCCGAATCCGTGGCGCGCTGGTAATTTTATCAAAACAAGTCTCATGTGAAATACAAAACTTTTCAATCGGTAAATTCGTAGCCTATTGCATTTCCATCATTTTTTTCGCTGCTGGCGCTTCCAGGTGGTTTAGTGATCTCTTAGTGTTAATATTTATACCAATTTTGAAATAAATACCTAGAGCTTTGAACTCTGGAGAAACTAAAGCGGACATTGAAAATGACATAATCTTCTATTTATCGTACATACTCAAAGATTTATTGTTGTGCCAGAGTATAAATGATTCCAAGAAAAGCTCACGTATAGCATTCGTATTATCAGTACATCGGATAATTTCGAGGTATACCAATTTTTATTACAATGCTAGTAACCTCAAAGCTAAGATAAGAGTTTACTGCATGAATGGCTGTGAAGATCAAAACTGGCAGCTGTCAGTCTCACTGGCTTAATTAAATCACACGATTCCGAAGTTGTGATAAAATTCTAAGCTGAGCTTTATTATTGCTGTCTGATTTACTGCTGCGTAAATTTCTTGATCTTAACACCTTTGAATATAATGATATTTTACCTGCATCGTTGGTTATTTTCCCTGTAAAGGTTCCAGAGTAATTCAAAATTATTGCTTATATAGAGAGGAGGTTTTTCAATGATGTATTGTTTGCCTTTTTAAAGAATATTATCTCTGCATCTCGTGTACAGAATTGGTAATTGTATCCTATCGCGGAAATGGATCTCCAACGGTTTTATGAAAATATCGGAATAATCTGGTGAATATATGAATTCCAGAGATATATCCTTTTAGATTGTTGTGAAAATAGGAATACTTGGCAATCCAAGCTTTATTCAAACAAATGTCCTGTTACCTGAAATAAGAGTACCTGACATTAAATACTAATCAACATAACACATATATAACAACAACAAACAATTATACGGTGGATTTAAAGTCAGCCTGTACGTGGTAGAGAACTTACATTACATTACGGCGGTAGTTAGAACGTGTCAGCTCGACGGGTACATTGCCAGCCAGACCATCTAACATCAGATATTCATATTATTATGAACTTTATTCATATAGAAATCAGGACTATATTACAACATAGAATGTGGCACGTTTCTTGATGATGTTCGTGTACATATAAAGCAGAGGCACATCAGTAAATCAGATGACCTCGACACTTGAGCAAAAAATAAGTGTTTCTAGGTAAAAGTAACCCAATATTTGGATCTTCACCAAAAAATAAATACATATATTTTCTTATTGGGTCATACTGCTCAAAACTATAAGAATGTTTCGGATGAATAGCTACCTGTTCCTTTGCGTGTACGCGCGTACAAACAAAATATTAAACACGTGTATGCACGTGCACGAGGCGGCGTCAAGCAACGGCAGGTCGATGACAGTTCAAGCCTTCAGTCCATTCAGGACTCTAGTGCACTCTCTCTAGTGCAATAGTCTCTAGTTCAGTCCATTCAGGACTCTAGTGCACTCTCTCTAGTGCATTAGTCTCTAGTTCAGTCCATTAGGATTCCAGTTTTCTTGCAACGTGTGAAGAAAAGCCATATTCTGCCATATACGGCAATATTCTGCCATGTACGGCCATATTCTGCCATGTATGGCCATAGTCAGCCATGTACGGCCATATTCGGCCATGTACGGCCATATTCTGCCATGTACGGCCATATTCTGCCATGTGTGGCCATATTCTGCCATGATCGGCCATATTCCGAAATGTACGGCCATATTCTGCCATGTACTGCTATATTCTGCCATATACGACCATGTACGGCCATATATTGCCATGTACGGTCATATTCTGACATGTACGGCCATATTCTGTCATATACGGCCACATTCTGCTATGTACGGCCATAGTCTGCCATGTACGGCTTGTGAAAGACACACTCAACACAAGACTTTTCTATTAATTTATTTGCTATCTATATTTATTGTCCCCTATAACTTTTCACGTATATCATTGGCGCGCAAATGAATATGTCTGTGGGAGTTTATCCAAATTTTCTTAGATCAATTAAAACCCCAGGCAAAAATTTGATGTGGGGCAGGATGGATAATAGAATATCTTAGTTACATAAACATGTTACACGTAAACATGTTATATCTCACTTACATAAACCCTGAAGAACACGCAGCCAGCACACAAGTGTGTACATCCTATCAAACAGCCTGTAAACGCGTGTATCTGTATCTAAACACACCGCCAGCACACACGTGCGACGCTTTGGACACTCTAGAAAGCCTCGACGACGGAGGATATTATCCCTGAGAGCCTCAATAAGGGACAGATAACTCCAATCCACAAAGGAGGTCCGAGGGACAGACCCAAAAATTACAGACCTTGACCTTGATCTCACATTTGATCAAGGTTTTTGAGAAGGTAGTGGTCAGGAGGCTTGTCCATTATATGGAAGAGGCTGAACTGTATAATAACGGACAACATGGTTTCCGGCGAAATCGTTCCTGTTTGTCACAGTTACTTGAGTGCCGTGATGCCCGATGCACGCGAGATTTGATGCTGTGAAGCGCAATTCAAGAGATTTGGGATGGCAGGATCGCATCCAATTTGTGACGCTGCATGTGATGTACTATGCATGCGAAATTCTGGACTTAGTCCGCAGGTAACACTCATGTTACTAAACGCATTATTTTCTCATTATTTTGTTCTCCAGAAAAATGGTCAAATTTCAGAATAGCAAAGCCTGTCATATAATGATAACGCAGTAGTAAGAATTAAAAATGCTTCTTGATTTTGGGCTATGATAACCGTATTAAAAACTGTCTACGTGTTACTAAAACACTCTTATTTAATTCTAACTTATTAATGAAACTTAGATGAATCTAATTTGTGACCGCTGCAGCCCTGTCTTTAGCCACGCCATTATTCAAATCGAGGGCGGGGGGAGGGGGGGCAGCGTTGCTGAGGATGCTGAGGTGCTGACTTCCGTTCGCTAACTTCATTTGCGAATATTTCACATCAGTTATCATCTGAAATCCAACCGATGACCAAAAATTGGTAGGAATCGCTGTTTCTTCACTGCTTTCCATCTTGAATATATATAAACTTCAAGTCGAAAAATCAAAGGAATGTAAAAAAAGTTCGCACCGAACGGAGCAAGTCCGTTTCTACTCTTTTATCTGAGATAAGATTACAAAGTTCGTTCATTCAGCGTTGAGTGACCGACGTGTGAGGTGGGTTGGTTCCCTGGCGCCTCGATCTTCATAGAAGACATTTCATCATTGACGCATTTCATCCTTTACCAATTGAACCCAACATATTCTACTGGTCCACATATTTGCAGAATGCACTTGACGTAATAAAGAAATTTCAATATGAATCCTTATAATTTTGACGTCTCAATGATGAATTGACCTAGTGATCAAATGTCTCGTATGATGACTTGTCTGGCCACCTCTTTGTCGCTCGTTTGATCATAAAAATTGGCCATTGGGTCTTGCATGAAGCACCAATTTTTGTCAGGAGCACGACTGTGTAGCGCACGACTGTTGGGAAATTGATTAATCTTTATCAGCAAGCAATTCATTGCTTGAATTTATGCAATATCAATGAAAGCTTATGGCATAAGTGAAAAACATAACGATATTCAAGATTGTAAATACGAAAAAGTACATATCGCATGCAAAATCTCGACGGTGGAAGTGTTATTGCTGAATTTAGGTACGGCGGAACTGAATAATCCGGCATAAAAATTAACTAATTACCCTTCTTCCATCCAACATTGTTAAGATCCCTTCAAACAAATACATTCTGTTTACATTCATAAGTATACTGAATCTAATACAACCACATGGCTTAACCTGGTATTTCACCTTCAATTGAAAGTATATCTTTTGTCGGGCACACTGTCAGCTTGCACCAATCGAGATCACCCTTTCAGTTGTGCATGTGGCGAAAATGCGCATTCAGGTTTTCACAAGTACTGAACGAGTCTACAACATGATAAGAACTTGTACATTCGCTCGCTTGGCTCCGCCTACATTCTAACTCTCAGTAGTCAGTACAAACTTTTATTTTAAGATTCATGAATTTATACGCCAAGTTAATGCGAGGTAAAATGAGTGTTATAAAGAATCTCCGTCATAGACTTCAGTTCCCATGCGCATTTTCATTTTTAATAATTCAGGTACCTACTTTGTTATTAAAGCCGTTGTCTCCTTCTCTTTGACAGCCGATTCATCTGACCAGCACTAAAACGACCTACCGAACTGAAACAGCCTCTTCTTTCATACGTCCAGAGTTCACACCCCAGTTTCTGTCCCCATTGACGACCACGCCTATTCCGAAATGGGATACAAGTGGCAGTTCCAAGATGAATTCGGCAACTGGATCGAGTATGGAAAAATCAGCTCAGCCAAGAGCTCGCCTTGTGTAGTGACTACCTCTTCAGAAGATATAGAGCGACAGTATGATGAAAATCCGAGAAGGTTAATCATTCTAAAGAGTGACTATTGGACGTATGAACTTAATTTCAACACGATGAAACAGACCAACATGACAACCAAAGTCACCAGGGACGTCCGACGAGTTGCAGATGATCTCTGGAGCGCCATGGACCATGTTTCACCATGGCAATATGAATACACCAATGTTCGAGCTCTCCTCAAACTAGACAAAGAGCCTAAGTTCATCTTTAAAATCATCAACACTAAGCGAGAAGCTGTTTTTGACGCGAGGATGGCTCAACTCCAGAGATATCAACCATTTGTTAAGTACGAGATAAAAGAACTCTTCCATGGTACGAGCTCCAGCAACGCCATATCCATAGCCCACGAAAACATCGACTTTGCACGGCATGGACCCAATTATATATACGGAAATGGAGCTTATTTCACGAACAAGTAAGTTTCTTTCAGTCATGTAACCATATTTTTTCATTTATAGCATTATTAACCATTATGTCTCCCAGCTATCACTATTCATCTCTTCACCACTGCGATTTTGTATGTCACTGGGCGTTTTCCATTCGTTTGTTCTGGTTAACATTAACTGACAAAAACGTGGAACTGTGAGGTGATTTACATAGACTTAAATGTTGAAAGCTGGGGTTTCGGATCCCAAAAATTCCGTTATATACTACTTGACCTAGCAAAATAAGGAATGCCTTCACCCCGCAAAATTGAAGAATGCTTGTCTGTAGATTGGAACAACTGCTAATGAATCCGAATTATGATGTAAACTCTGAATGAATATCATCGCCGAATCCTCTTACTCCTAAAGTGCCTAATGACAATTTCCGTGGTGTATCTTGCTTAATTTTTTTGACGTTAGTTATTGAAGGAGTCTTTGCAGGTTGCTGCACTGCATGCTTCAATATAAAATAATTTATGCTAAGATAGAGGAGTCTCAACCGTTCGAATACACTTTGCATTTAACATGCATTCAACCTAATTTCATTACTTGAACATTTGTTCATCAAAATTTCCTTCATAAATATGGATCGTCTATGGCAGGTCAGTTCTAGTCACGACCTTAGCTTGTACAGCCAGCGACCAAAGACACACGCACTCAGAGAAATATACGGGACTATATCCAAATGGCGAAATACTTTAGCCCTTGTGCGGGTCATCCTGATCAATTTTGGCCCAGCAAAAGGTCGTATCAGGACTACAAGGAGAAGGCGTGACTATTTGGCCAGTATGACCAACTCAATTTTTTGTTTATTGACTATTCATTATTTTTCTTGATATTAAACGTAAACTGACACTTCGTTATTAAATTGTAACGTCTTTTCATCTCTGCAGTATAAAAATGGCTGATCACTATGGCGATGCAATTTTCATTTGCAAGGTTCTCGTTGGACGCGTCACCAGGGGCAGCTCAAATGTTAGCCAGGCTTCAAAAGACAAGTAATGCATAGTAAAGCCTAATCCTAAATATCCGTTATCTCAATCCTAAATATCCTATATCTC